CGTGGCTATCCCCCCTGGGAGGTGATTTCTCACTTTCTGTCTCTCTGTCTCTCTCTGTCTGTCTGGCGAGTGCACGCACCCTATAGCAAAAACCTCTCCAATAATAATAATAATAATAATAATAAAAGATCTTGGGCACACATGCACATGTGCCTGGCATAAGTTTCAAGTCACTGGGTCTGGGGCTCAAACCACGGTTGGCCATGTGGGAGTCCAGCAATATAACCATTATACCATCTACTGGTCTTAATACTCTGAAAACTTTAATAAGGCTAAAGTAAGACCTTGACATCTTTCTGGACCGTAAATGTTAAGTCAATGTTATATGATGGAACTAATCACAGAGGAAACACACTTAACACATTTATATGGCAGCCCTTACTGAGTGGTATAAGGAATGGGCCGACCACACGAGAAAATAGAAATGTAGAGCCTTTATTGGGAGTGCTCTGGGCAAGGTTCGCTGGTCTGAGGGGGGAAGACAGAGAAGTCACCCTAAGGCGGGGTTTAGCAATTTTTATAAGGGAATAGGGAGGGGGGAGTATCTTGGAGGTAGAAACTGTCCATGTCTGGTAAAGTTTTAGAGAGAGAGCAGACTGCTGTGCCACATAAGGTCTGGTGTCGTGTGCAGAGTAGAGCCCCATGTGCAGAGTAGAGCGCCATGTGCTACAACCGGGTCAGATCTGAGTGCAGCGCAGGTCTGATGACAGACTGGATCCGGGTTGTATCAGCCAACTAGGGCATGGCATCCAACCCCCACATCCAACCTGCCCAGGCCTCTGGCCTAACAGGTGACATTAACTCTTAATTTTAGTGTTTACTCTTCTATAGAACAAAATACAAAATAAAATTTAAAAATGCTCAATAGGGCCAGCAGATGTCATAGAAGTTAAGGTGGTTAGATCCAACATGGCCAATGTGTAGTTTGAGTCCTGGTCTTGGCAAACTGAAAAGCATACTGGGGGAGACCAGCGGATGGCATAATGGTTACATCACTGGACTCCCACATAGTCGACCGTGGTTTGAGTCCTGAAGCTGGCAGCTTAAAACTCATGCCAGGTGTGTGTGTGTGTGTGTGTGTGTGTGTGTGTATGCCCACAATTCCAAGAAAAGAATGGAGGAGAAGGGATTGCAGTGTGGCCATCCCCCAGGAGGGGTGATTTCTTGCTTTCTGTCTCTCTGTCTCTCTCTGGCGAGCGCACGTGCTCTAAAGCAAAAATCTCTCTATAAAAAGAAAGAAAGAAAGAAAGAAAAACAAACAAACAAAAACATGCTGGCTGCATGTGTGCACATGCCTAGAATCTTTAGAGGAGAAAGGGTTGTGGCATGGCTATCCACCAGGGGCTGATCTCTCACTTTCCCTCTGTCTCTCTTTGGTAAGTGCACTTCTCTATAGTAAAAACTAAACAAAAAGAAAGAAAGAAACAAAGAAAATGTTCAATGTAATTTCCAAACATATTATGCAAAAGAAAAGAAGAGGATTACTCTTTTAACATTTAAAAGAAGACTTACAGCACCGAGCTAGCCAACTGAGGTAAATGTAGTCATTTTTCATTTTCTCACTTTGGATCAAGAGGAACACCTGCAAGAAAAGGAAAGAGAGGGAATAAATGTGAGGGTGGTTTTATAATGAAAATATCCATTATAGACTTGCCTTAGAGTGATTATCACTGTAGGCTTAGATGACTAAATTCTGTGCAGGCTGCTAAGAAAAATGAAGGACAAACTGTAGTGATTCTCACACAGTCCTCTTAGTAATTGGTACTCCAAGCTGACAAATTGGGAAGGGCATCCTTTTAACAGAAGAATTAACAACTGTATGGGACATACTGTTTTCAAGTACTCAGGTCCATGCTACTGGGCAATGAGGCAAGTCTCAACAACTGTTATAGGACTGGTGTCTTGCGGATCACATTCTATGACCACAATACAATTAATTTAGAAATCAAAAGACAATAACCTGAAAAGGATAACTTACATATTTTAAAATTCAGAAACAGTGAGGTTTTCTTTTTTTTTAACAAGAGAGATTTTTGCTATAGGGTACGTGTGCTTGCCAGAGAGACTGAGACAGACTAAGAGACAGAATGTGAGCTATCACCTCCCCAGGGGGGATGGCTATCCCACAATCCCTTCTCCTCCATTCTCCTCTTGGGATCATGGGCATGTATACACACACCGGTGTGAATTTTAAACCTCAAAGTCTGGGACTCAAACCACAGTAGACAACATGGGAGCTCAGCAATGTAACCATTACACCAACTGCTGGTTCTGAAACAGTGAGTTTTAAATAACTCACAGGTCAAAGAAGAAATCATAATGAAAATTAGAAAATATTTATTATTATTATTTTAAAATTTTTATTAATTATTATTTTTTTAAATTTGCTATGGGGCACATGCACTTACCAGAAAGAAACAGAGAAAGTGAGAAAGCAAGCTGCCAGGTCCAGGACTTGAACTGCAGCTGGCCACATGAGTGCCTTAACCACCCCACACTAACTGCCAGACCCATATATATATATATATACACGTACACACACATCCACACACATCTATTATATATATAATATAAACATATTTATATTCATATTTATTTATTTACGAGAGACTTTGCTTTAGGGCACATATGCTTGCCAGAACGATGGAAAGAGACAGAGAGACAGAAAGCAAGAAATCATTTCCCAAGAAGGATGGCCATGCCACGATCCCTTCTCCTCAATTTTCCCCTCAGGATCTTGGGTACATGAGTTTCTAGCCACCAGGTCCAGGACTCGAACTGTGGTTGACCACATGGGAGTTCAGTGACATAACCATTACTCCCATCTGTTGGTCCTGAATATTTATTTTCTTTGAAGTTTATTTATTTTACTCATTACAGAAAGTATGTTCAGGTGCACAGGAAAAAGGAGAGACACACACC